TCTGCTCTGCACGGTTCAGTATGGGTGTTGATATAAGAACCGGCAGACTATTAATCATGTTATGTCAATATCGTGAGGGAAATCTGTATTTTAACATTATCTCGCTCTGTTTTATGTACTGTGTTTGCAATGCATAGCCAAGGTAAGCAACACACTGCTTGGGCACATCCATGTAAGCATCATCCACCTGAGCTGTTCTAATGCAGAGATATTTTTATGACGTTTTAAAGACAAAATATCTGCTTGCTTCTGAAACAAGACTTCTATTTAAAAATAAATAATGAGATGATGAAAGAAACCAGCAAAGTCTTCAAAGTGATACTGGAGTCTTACCATATTACGGTGTCCCGCCGCCCCCCCCCCCCCCCAAGCTATTTTCAGTTCATTAAGCAAAAGAGATCATCATATTGGACAAAGTTTTATTTAGGTCAAGGTTGCAGTTGTGCAAACAAAGTGAGTATTTGCTTTTTCTGGAAAAACTCCAAACAACATTTTTATCAGTTGTTTGGGGCAAACATTTGCAGCTTTTTCAACTATGGCAAAACTAAAAACAAACCCCTAAACAGCTGCTGAATTCAACCCAGGCTGAAACATACTGAGGTTTGCATAATACTTAATGCTAATAATTAAACTGAGATCCACTGGCAACTGAAATATTTTAGAAATATGGAAAGCAAATATTTCTCATTTCAACACCCTTGATCAGATCAGTTCCACCCAATGTCACACCACCTCAGCACACACAAATTTTTATGTTTGTGGTGAATTATTTTGCCCAGCTCTGGCCTAAACAGAGAGAGGGATGGAAAAAAGAAAGAGGATTTACCCTTTTATTCTGGAAGTTCTTCAGTCTCTGTCCAGGGCCTGGCAACCTAAATACTCATAAATAACATTGGCATTTATTTTCAAATGGATGTTCTTGTGATCGATTGCCAGAAGTAAACATCACTCATCTCCTGTCATCTGATGCAAAAGGACAAGATTTGGTCCTAGCCCAAAGATTCATATGAAAATCCAGTGTCACCAGGTGCAGTGATTGCTGGATGTCAAAACTAGGCTGCTTTAGACTTGCACGTGAATTCAGAAGTGAGTCCAAAGGGAGCAGCTGAACGAGCTCTGAGAGCTTCTCTAGGCAGAAGGGTGCACTGGTGGTTTTCCCCTAGATGATGTGCTCACCATGATCTGTATCGGAAATAGCATCATCATCCTTGTACCTGCTCCAAAAAACCAGGCTGAACCCAGAGTGGGCGTGGTGCCTGCTGTTGAAGAGAGGCAGGGTCACCAGGGCAGGCAAGTCCAGGGGCTGCTCAGCAGTGACTGCGCCTCTCCGTAAACTTTGGGGCTAAATCTGCAGCCCGTTCAGAGAAAGGATCTTTAATACGTACCAAGCAAGAGCCTCCTGCAAGTCCCTGAAATGGCCGAGCAGCGCTTCCCTGAAAAGGAGAGATGCCGACGCAGAGGTGTGAGGCCGACCTTCCCACCCTCTGTGCCGAGCTGCAGCATTTCCACACCATCCCCTTCCTCCCGCACCCCAGGGGGGCTTGCCCTGGTGTCATTTCGGGGGGCGGGAGAGGGAGGGTGGCAGGACCCCCAGCAAGGTCCTCCAGCTTGTTTCTCCCAGCCAGGGATTTGGGTTCCCTTCTTCTTCCCAGACTGAATTAATTCAGAAACACTGCACTCTGGTGCATGCTTCCCCAGGGCAGGGTGCTGGCATGGGTGCAGCATGTGCAGAGGGAGACCGCCGGGAGACGCAAAGGACATGGGGCACAGCTGAGAGCGGGTGCACCCACGGCAGCTCCGGAGGAACTAAATCTCCTCCTTCCCACCAGCTCTCTGATGGCTGCGACAGGTCAGCACAAGACCGGGACAGAACAGGACATGGTCCAGCTCTGCGCCATCTGAGCTAAATGAATTTCTTCCTCCTGGGCATCACATCCACCTGTGCCAAGGGCAGCTCTTCCCTTCAACTGTACCCCGTGCACCTAGTTCATAATCTCTCCAGGAGCATCTCTTCCTGCACATACACTCATTGCCCAAGCATGGCAAGGCCATGGGTTTGGCTGGAGCTTATCAGTTGCCTGCCATTATGTCAATGCTAAAACTGAATTATTTTTCAATTCCTTATCTACAAAAAAATTCTTATTCTACTTGGCCTATTAAACAATGCATCCCCCTCCCCAACTATCTTTCCCTTTTTTTTTTCAGTCCCGTTCTCTGCAGGAGTAGTTCTGCAGGGAAGGATGTGCTGCCACAGGGTGCTCAAGGACCCTAAAAACTACCTTGAAAATTACATAGCAGCTCAGCTGAGGGGCAAAACCAGTTCTGGAAGGCCAGTCTGGACAGCTCTGCCACAAAACTAGCGCTGATTATATGTGTGAGCGTGCCACTGCCTCGCGAGCTAACATAAACTCGTCATCCCCAGTGTTTAAAGGTGAGTGGCCCAGCTGGCACTGCACAGGCTTGGTGTGCCACCCTGCTCTGCTTGCAGCACCCCTGTCCCTGCGACAGGTACATTGTGCCACATCTCTTTTTACCCCTTTGCACCAGCATGGACTAAAACTGGAAGAAGGCAGGATGCAAAGAGACTGGCAGTGAACCCAGCTGAGCCACGTTTCTCCTGTTGAGCTTTAACCTCTGGGAGCTCGTCCACAGTTTAACCCTCCTGCAGCTCCACTCATGGACAGGCTCCACTGCCGCAGGGTGGTCCCTCGGAGGTTGCTTTTAGGCCTAAAAAAACTCCATTGTAAGAGAGATTTGCAGATATTGGGAGCTTATGACTTTTTTTTATTTTCCCCCTTCGCCTCTCCAGGGGAAGCAGCTGTACAATGAGTTGCACAAGGGAGCTTGGCCTCAGCCAGCGGGATGCAGATCCAAGAGCCTGCAATGAAAAGGCTTGAAGAATACAGCTTGCAAGTGTGTTCCCAGCACAG